CGACATTTGGTGCCAAAACTGCCCCTCATCCCATGGTCGCAGTGATGACTGTGACCTGAGCCCACTCGGCTTTCCTCCGCCTCTGTGCAAGTCTCGGGCCTTAAAAAAGGCTCCAACATGACATGGACTTCGACTAGACAATCAACAGCAACATAAATAGGATTCTTGTTGTCCAACACTGCCATTTTATAGCAGTTGGAGCGACCTTAATACGGCGATACGGGTTTCAGGTACTCGCCTCACCACCATCGCCTTCCCTTATCGCCCCGCCCCCCCCCTCACCCACGGCATTGGCAAAACTAAGGCGTGGAGGTGGAGGGAGAACTGACACAGAGAGCTCCTTACCTCACTGTGGGAAGGTATAACACGCCTTGTCGAGTGACTCGCTTAACCCACACCTAAACCCGGACCCAAACTTAACGGCTAAAAGGCAGTACCAGTAACGCACTCACTGAACTCAATGCACCTGCTAAAGTGCATTTCCAAGTACTTTACCACAAAGAGGTGATGCCAACATGGCCAACACGTTGCAACATCCAAGGTGTTTGCGGTAGAATTTTATTTTTATGAAATTCTACTTAGTATTAGGCATTTGATCAAACATTTTGACCTACTTGATCCTGTTTGAAGTTAAATAAAATAAGCATTAAACTTACTCTCAGCCTCGACTCACTAAAGTGCCGTAGCAGTATGAAGGTCAGGGATAGGGACAGGACAATTCCAACCTCCTTTAACGACGGTGCACCCTCAATGAACATTCGTTTGGTAAATTCATGATCGTAGGGATAGGTCACCCAATCGAGGCCAATTTCAGTGAAGGTTTTGTAGGTTTGTTGAATAAAGACTGGAATGGTGGGCGGATCTCTTGTGGCCTCAGACACGGCGTTGCCCATTGCCGAGGCTGTCAGACTGACCAACGCTACAACACGAAGGAGGGGCAGTAAGATTGACATTCCACTGAATGCACGCCTTGCCGTCACCACCTCAACACCAACTTGTCAACTAAGGCGAGGAGTACCACTCACCTCAGCCACTCAGCGTGCAGCGTTGTGTGTGCGAGCGCAACTCACACGTGAATAAGCCTCGTCGCTGATTGGTCAGGTGGGTGGGCTAATGAGAATGCAGCAGCATTTATAAAGCCTTTTTGAGGTGTCAGGGTGAGGTGGATTGACATTTTTACAAGTGTTAGGAGGCGTTTTATTAAGATAGCACTGTGACCTCTACGGAATGGTAGACTTTTCGGTGGAAAAAAAGATGAATCTGTTATCAAGCATAGGTGGAGGCACATGTGTTAGACACATGATGATTGTGCATAAAGTTGAGTGCTCTATTGAAGTGACAAATCGTGGGATTGAAAGGCCTTTAAATCACTTTTCGAAAGGTTTACCTGCAGTCTAAGTGTAAACGTGGCTGTAGGTGTCATGAGACGAGTGGATTTGCTAAGGAGTTGCACAACTTCATGCGATAAGGCTGTCTTACTTCAAGGCACTGCCGGTCTAAACAACCAAGAGGATATCTAAATTGAGGTAATAATTGTCCTTACAGGCTAGTGTTGCTTGACGGTGTTGCTGCACCACGTGGATACTAATAGAGAGTGCAGCGATGTTGAGACGACTGTTGTCCGGGCGTGGCTATTTCTGAACGCCTGAATTGACAGCACCACACTCGAAGGGGTTCAATTTTGAATGCATGCGACCCACTTATAACAGTCCAGAGGAGGAACTCAAGCCTACCAACAATAAGTTCGGACAAGTGGACCATCATCGCGGCACGACTGTCAGGGGACTCCGAGCAAAGCCATGCACATCGGGCCATTCATTGCCCGCATGACGTTGGAGTAAAATCCAGGAGGACAAGTGAATGGTTAAAATAAATTTTCAACTCCGAGACTCTGCTCTACTTTGGACTTGAGTCACCTCTTAGCCCTTCCAAACTTATGACTCTTTGAATAATGCCAATGTCTGAGTCTGTGCATTAATTAGCTTCCACAGTGGAGGACAAACCATAACAGACGATATGGTGGGCCAAGTGGTTGCAATTAAAATGCAGAAATCCTTT